GCGAAAGAAAAGATAAGTCAAAAATATCGTAAAAAAATTAAAAGAACTTAAGGTTACAAGAAAATCAAGAAATTTAAATATAACAGATAGAAGAAAGCGAGGAAAGGAAGAATAAAGATTATGAAGGTAATGGTAGATAAATACGTTAACCGTTAAAATCAATAAATGTAAGTAAATGAAAGATATAGTAGGGTGGATAAAAAGTGATGAAAATATTATATATAAATGATAAAAGAAAAAGATAAGATAAGAAAAAAGGAAAATAAAAACTACTTAAGATTTCAAGATAATCAGAAATTGAAATATAAATAAAAGAACAATGGAAGGAAAAGAAGAATAAATAATATTATCAATGTAATTGTCGATACATACCTATTTTGGTCGTTGAAAGCAATAAGTATAAGTAAATATAAGATATAGTAAATAAAAATGATAAAGGTAAATGAAAAGATGAGTAAAAAAGGTAAAACTAAAAATAACTTAAGATTGCAAGATAATCAGGAATTTAAATATAAATAAAAGAACAATGCAAGGAAAAGAAGAATAAATAATATTATCAGTGTAATTGTAAATACTTACCTATTTTGGTCGTTGAAAGCAATAAGTATAAGTAAATATAAGATATAGTAAATAAAAATGATAAAGGTAAATGAAAAGATGAGTAAAAAAGGTAAAACTAAAAATAACTTAAGATTGCAAGATAATCAGGAATTTAAATATAAATAGAAGAACAATGCAAGGAAAAGAAGAATAAATAATATTATCAGTGTAATTGTAGATACATATTTTAGCTGTTGAAAGCAATAAGTAAATATAATTTATAGTAGATAAAAACGATAAAGAAAAAATAGTATGTAGTAAGTGATAAAGGTAAAAGAAAAGATGAGTAAAATAGGTAAAACTAAAAATAACTTAAGATTGCAAGATAATCAGGAATATAAATATAAATAAAAGAACAATGCAAGGAAAAGAAGAATAAATAATATTATCAGTATAATTGTAGATACATATTTTAGCCGTTGAAAGCAATAAGTAAATATAATTTATAGTAGATAAAAATGTTAAGAAAAAATAGTATGTACTAAGTGATAAAGGTAAAAGAAAAGATGAGTAAAATAGGTAAAACTAAAAATAACTTAAGATTGCAAGATAATCAGAAATTGAAATATAAATAATAGAACAATGCAAGGAAAAGAAGAATAAGTAATATAAAGGTAATGGTAGATAAATATGTTAGCCGTTGAAAGCCATGAATATAAAAGTAAATAGAAGATATAGTAGATAAAAAGTGCGAAGAAAAATATAGTATGTAAGGGATAAAGACAAAAGAAAAGATCAGTTAAAGAGGTAAAAATAAAAATAACTTAAGATTGCAAGATAATCAGGAATTGAAATATAAATAATAGAACAATGCAAGGAAAAGAAGAATAAATAATATAAAGGTAATGGTAGATAAATATGTTAGCCGTTGAAAGCCATAAATATAAGTAACTAGATCATATAGTAGATAAAAAGTGCGAAGGAAAATATAGTATGTAAGGGATAAAGGCAAAAGAAAAGATCAGTAAAAAAGGTAAAAATAAAAATAACTTAAGATTGCAAGATAGTCAGGAAATAAAATATAAATAATAGAACAATGCAAGGAAAAGAAGAATAAATAATATAATGGTAATGGTAGATAAATATGTTAGCCGTTGAAAGCCATAAATATAAGCAAATAGAAGATATATTAGATAAAAAGTGCGAAGGAAAAATAGTATGTAAGGGATAAAGGCAAAAGAAAAGATCAGTAAAGTAGGTAAAAATAAAGAACTTAAATTTGCAAGGTAATTAAGAAATAAAATATAAATAATAGAAGAAAGAGAGAATGAATGAGGAATTTGAAAGAATGAATGAGGAAAAAGTGACAAAGCAAATTTATATTGTAGAAGTGAATGGAAGAGTCGGAAAGGGACGTCCTAGGCGAAAGTTTATCGACCAAATTGGCGATATATTGAAAATGGGCCAAATTAGGATCACCCTTAACCGATGAGCATGTATGCGTAGGTATATGAATGTGAAGGAGGTGTGTGGTGTGTCAGGATCGTGCCGAATGGAAATCTGTAGTCTCTGCCTACCGCTCTGGATAACAGGCGTGAGTGTTTATGTATTTTATATGAAGAAAGAGAGAAAAAGATATTAAAGATTGTGGAGGTATTTCTAGATAGATGTATACGTAAGCGAATAGAAACAGTTTATGAAGATGCAATGTATTTTTAGATGACTAACAATAATGAAAGAGTAAATAAAAAATACAAGCAGAAGTGAAAAAATGCAAGAAGTTATAAAAGATAGAACAGAAAGTATCAATATGATTATAAAATTGAACAGGTATTGTAAACAAAGAAAATATTATATATAATTTATTGCATAGTTGTAAAGCGAAAAAATGTCAGAAGTGTATGGTTATAAAATGAAAATTATGTGTAGAAGAAGAAAAGAGAAAAAAACATGAAACGAAACAGGTAGATATTTAAATAGAATAATAAAATATTAAACACAAGTGTGAATTTATTATTTTGTTACAAAACAGAAGAAAAATGAATGAGTTAAGTTCAAATAAATGAGAAAAATGTGGCAGGTGTGCAAAAATTTAAAAAGTATTAACATAGAAATCTTTGTTCAAATGGAAAAATATGTAAATGGACAAGAATAAAACTGAAGAAAATGACAAAAATAGGTAAATATCATGAGAATATGAGCCTTCGCAATATACGAAATACGTACGTTTTGTGAAGAAAGAAACACAACGGTCAACAACTGCGTTTTCATTTTGTCTGATGATTGTGAAAAATATTTATGTAGTGTAGAATATCCCACACGATTTATATATTAATGTTAATTGTACCTGTTAAGACGTGTGGGCTACTCTATATTAATTTAATTATTTAGTACAAATTCCTTATAGAATAGATTCTGATGATTGAAACTGGAAAAAAAATATATGACGCAGAAGTTAAAGAGTGAAGGAAAAGAAAGTAAAGAAGTGAAACACTAATAAATGAAAAATAAAAAATAATGAAGAGAAAGTTTGAAAAATTTGGATGATAGAAAATGTCATGGAAATTTAAACACAACATGAAAAGCTAACTTTTAAGTAAATGTGAAGACTGGTTAAATAAATGTTTTAAACGCTTATGAATAAAATAATAGTTGAAATACTATATGTTGTAATAGTTGAAGCGGCAAATGCAGAAAAATAATAGAAATGAAGTATATTAGAAGAAGGAAAATTGTTTGAAGATGAAAAAGACATGAAGACATAGTAAAAATATGGAATCATAAATTACAAAATTTTAAATATAGTTAACAATGCCGAAGAAACCGATAGAGATGAATTATGAATAATAAATAGAAATAGAACATCCATAAGAAGAAAATATTAAGAAATTAATAATGGAAGTACTCTAAATATGAAAGTATAGGGCATATTATGTATATATATATATATATATATATATATATATATATATATATTATATATATATATCTATATATATACATTCAATCGTTTGAAGTAATTAGAAGTAGAAAAGAATGTTAAGCATGAATGACAAACAATCGCTGAAGACAGCTTAACAAATAAGTAAAAAGTTTTATTTTGTAGAATGGAAATGATAGAATAAAGAAAATATTATAAAGATTGCTTTATGTAGTATAAATGTGATAAGAATTTAGAATAGGAATGAAAAGATGCATGAACTTATAATACAATATGATTATAACTGGAATCGAAGCAAAAAGTTCGTAAACACGGTAGATATATATAAATAAATGAAAATAAGGTATACAAAATAATGAATATCTGTATAGCATGAAATGAAATGGAATGCAGTGAAGTAAAGTAATTTTATATATAAACATTGAAGTGAAATAAGACATTGTGTGATCAGAAATAAAATGAAAAAGAAGAAAAATAATATTTATCAACTTTACTCATAAATATCTTCGTCAATTTAAGTTGCTCTTTTTTCACCAAATGACAATAAATAGAGATAATTTATTAATATTTAATTTATGTAAGCGGTTACCAACGATATAGTAAACCAAAACTTTGTTGTAACATGAACTAAAGAATATATGTAACTACAAGATACATGGAAAGGTTAAATGAATTTATATGATATAGTAAGGTAAATAAACAAAGAAAATTTAATAAATTTAGAAATAAGTAAAAGAATATCACAGATCTGAAAAGGAAGGAAGAAAATAAAGACACAAGAACAGTAGATATAGAAAATGTTTGACAAGATAATAGAGACAAGATATAAGAAAAAGAAATGAATAAATAACAAAAAAATTCATACATACATACAAATAAAGAAAAAAGTTTAATGTTAAACTACCATGGTGCATATCACAGTGTACTTTGATACCTAAGTTACCTATGTATTTATTATAATAGAGGAACTTTATTAGGGCCGGCTCATTGAAACAGTAGATTATTTTGAACACTAAACCAATCAGGAAATACTCATACGTCAACTGTTCAGTATTAAATTAATATAAATAATATTACCCCTACCCTCTTTCATATAAGTAATTGTATACTTAAAATTCTTCAAGCCGGCCCTAAGCTTAACAAATAAAGTAAGTGCCAAAAACAGCGGAATTCACCGTCTAAAACAAATGTGCGGTAATTCGCTAATACTACTTTTACTAATATCACTTGAACAATACTGTCTTTGGTAACATATTTAGAACTTAGCTGTAATACCAAATAATGGCTAAGTTGTAGGCAAGTTTATATTTAAATTTGTAAATGAGAATGGCTATAATTTATAGTAGCTATAGATTGGCTATGCATTTTTTTGTTCATGGTGACAAGGTATACATTATGCTTTGAATATAAATATATAAAGTAACGGTCTTTTGTGAATATTGATGCAGTTTTGCAGAACTGCGTTTGTTAATACTTCTTATAGCTACACTCACGTTGAATCAATAATTTAAAATTTTTTCTACTCCCGGTAACTATAACCTGAATCTTCATGATTATTGATCGGGTAATCAGCGTACCAACCGAAGGCACCGTTATCGCCGGTGTGAGCGCCGAAATCGACATATTCGCCAAAATCGGGCGGCCTTTCGGCGTATTGCGATTCTGCTGTAATAACGGCTGATCCTGAATCTATATCTTGTGGCTGAATTTGAATGAGTCTTGCCGGAGCTTCTGGAGACGGTGGTGGGGCCAGATCTATAGCTGTGAAGATTGAAAAAATTATATATCTGGTACAAAGTTTTATGTTTCGGCGTGGTCCGAATCTGAGTACCTATAAAAAAATAATACGCCGATTGGCGTGCCCCATGGAATGTGTTTACCTTCAAATAAGGCTACAGACACGTTGTCATTTAAGATAGAATGTCTTACCTGTTATTATACTGACTCTATATGGCATTCAGACCGGAACACAGTGCAAACACTGCTATTTGGCGACAGAGGTAGCAAAGAGTGTGATACCAACTCAAGCTGACTCGTAGCAGAAAAGGTGATCGTGATGATTGCTTATATTGGTAAACTCTGATAAAAGCTGAAGGTTAACTATGACATCAGAATGACACTTCAGCGCGTCTTGAATTGGGTGTTGCAAAGCAACACTTGTGGCAACGCATTTCCATTTTGATTCTTAATCGAGGATAGTTGTAGATGCCTATGGGCCACTTACCATAAGGTGGAGTGTGTGCTCGTTTGTCACCTTCATTTTATAAAATAAAATAGAAAAATCACAAGAAATATTGGATGAGTTGAAAAGTGATAAAATCGCTAACTTTAGTTTACTATCAATATCATAATTAAATACCAGTTCTAGGGTCTTTACTAAGAACCGATACTGACAAAATTTAGAATATTATAGTACTAAATTCGAAGTATTAGTGTTCTACTTATAGTAGTACTTAAGCTATATTACATAGACTGACATGATTAATATAAGCTATATTAATCATGTCGGTCTATGAGCATGAAGCAATATATAAATGAAGTGTAACGAAGCCAAGAAATGTACTCTATGGTGTAACTAACTAAGATCCCTCGCCAGTGCACCGAATTCTACGTCGTTCTTATGCAATACCTATCTACTTTGCATAGAGTAGGCAGTTTTTAATCGATTAAATCAGTTTTACCGTTTTGTATTATAAAGGTGGCAAATCGTAGTTATTCTATAGTCAAGTGGAGTCAGCACTTGTATATTGTATAATATATACTGTTACCATTACATCCTAGTTAAGTCCACTGCTGAACATGGGCCTCCCCCACAGTTTGCATAATAGAGGGCATATTTGCCGTACTTGCTACGCTTGGCAACAAATCAGGAGATGGAAATCGCTGCTGCCCATCTCCTGATTCGTGTCCCTCTGTTGCCTCTTGTGACATCCATATATGGGGTATTGGATATTCTTGGACCGCCACTACATGATAATATATGAAATTGAGTAAATTCTAGTTTTTCTATATCGTCGAGCCCAGCTTGGTCGCCCAGGTGGTACTTTTATTTTAAAGAACAAAACTATATTTGTAGACGGTTTTACGCAATGTAACGTTTGTTTAAAAATAATATAATAAAATAATACGGTATTTAAAATGAGTATGATTCGTAAATACACGGATTCATTTACGTATATTCAGTTTTACAGTATGCGAATTTAATTGTGAAATCTATAATTTACGAGCATTATATTAAAAGGAGATCTGGATGTTAGCGATAGGGCAGTCAAATTAAAAAAGACCTAAAAAAATTTGCGCGTTGTCTAAATACTAGCTTCATCACCATTTAGGTATTGACACATGGGCTTATCACCTACGGAACAAAATGTATTCATTCCCCCAATACTTTAAAACTGACTAATTAATGCAAATATGAGATTATTAAAATTTTAATTATTTTTTCAAATCAATTAAAATGTAAAAAAAAACATTAAGTCTTAGAAATCCCATTCGTACAACCACAATAGAATTGTAGCATGACTCTACCACGTGAGAAAACTTACTCGTGTACTCTAAAGTTTACGTCGAGCGGCTGACCCCTTAGCTACCACGGCACGGGAGGAAATGTACGTATAGTAAGTACCTAATGTATTGATTGCACACTTACGTAAGAAACAGTCTAGCCACATTTACGTAGTTTTAATAAGGAATCCTTGTTGGCAGGTTGATGGCGGTGAGATTTTTATCAAACAATAGAAGAAAGCAACAACGTACTGATATAACGACTTTAATCTTTACAATGGGCATTGAATTTAAAGTCGGTTCGTTGTCAACTTTCGATCCTTTGTCGAGTGAAAGTTGGAACGGCCTTGATGGATAACCGTGCAGTCGGTTATGGATTCATCTCGCTTTCTTTGGCTTGAATTGGATGATGGGGTAGACGTATGAAGTGCGGGTCATTTTGTTTCGTAATGACGTCGAATTAGATTTGATGGAAGTATAATGTCGACATAGAAAGCTTTCGTGAAAGTTGTACCTAGTTTAAAAATATAAGACATAGAATGTGTAGGTATATAATATGTTCGTTCATCTGCTCATCTTGTACATTTATTTCAATGTGGCGGAGCCGAGTAAGTATATCCACTACCCCATATCGCCTCGTCTCGTGGTCTCGTAAGAGTTATACGTGGTAGAGCCACGCTGCAGCTATATTATGGTTGTAGCACGAATAGGTCGGCTTGACCGGGGAAGGACCACGCTCTCACAGAATACCAGCGCAAAATAGCAGCTTAATACTGCTGTGTTTAATTTGGTGATAGAGATCCGGAGGCCCTTTTTTACTAGAAAGGAGGAATTCCATCTTAATCCTCAGGGGTGACAACGCACCTGCGTTTTGATTCTTAATCGGTGATAAATGTAGATGTCTATGTTTCACAGCATCTACTTACGATCAGGTGCTCGTTTGTCACACTTATTCTATATAAAAAAGAAAAGGTGACAGACGTAAACAAATGGACAGCAGATTCTTTCTAATAACAACTAAAAAATTAAAACATGCAGTTGCCAACTCTCCTGCCAAGCGTGACACCTAATGTTAATTTCCCTAAGAGGCAAGTTATGCAGGGCCTCTGTTTAGCAATGGACTTTAATATTGGGTGTAACGGTATACGGTCTAAACAAAGGCTTATAAGTAAAGTAAAGTAAAGTAAAAAGTAAAGTTACAGCCTATATACGTCCCACTGCTGGGCTCAGGCCTCACCTCATTTCTGAGAGGGTTTACGGCAAGGAAGTGTCCGCCGCGCTGCCCAAATGCGTGTTGACGAACTTCACATTGCTTCGAAAATATTTTTTTTTCTTATTCCTCAGACATGCAGGTTTCCTCACGATGTTTTCCTTCACCGCCGAGCACGTGGTAAATCAGCACTTAAAATTGCAATTTAACAATTTCATTGGTGCTGGCGGGGATCGAACCCGGGTTACTCGCGTTCTGTTATATTTACGGCGAGCGTTAACCACTGAGCTACCAAGGCTTATAAGTAGGTACAAACAAATATATTTAATCAATTATTCATTTGTCCTGTAATCTTTACCGAGGCTGCATAAAATATCAACCAACAGCTTTGTATATTTTCTTGATGAGCAAGTTATTTAGGTTAACAGTCAACGACCAAACAAAATTACACTACTTACGTTGCTGTCGATAACTCTGGATCGGTATGGGCTGATAGTCCTGTTCGTACAGCCCTTGGGGCAGCGGCGGTGGTGCCAGCGTTTGACGTGGAACACGACGCGTTCGCATTGCCGTCAGATCAATAAAAGCGATCTGGTCGGCCGGCACCGCGATATATGAAGGCATGGCGCCTACTGCCGCAAGTGTGGCTAGTATTATCAACAGCTGTGGAAAAAACTTCCGCTAGTATATCATTAAGCAAACTAAAGTGCTTTCGGGTTCACGACAAATCAGGTTCACGATTAAAGCGCTATTTACAGTGATTCCTTGTTTTTGTTAAAGTTATAAAATAAATACCGAAATATAACACTCGTTCGCAAAAGTATGTATACATTTTCCGAGTGTTTAAGAATAATTTCAATTTATTTTTATTTTTTTATTATTAGTAAATATCTTAATGTTGAAATTAACAATTTCGTTGGTGGCGGCGGGGTTCAAACCCAGTTTGTTCGCTTCACAGAGCACTTAGTCTCTGAGCTACCACGGCAATATACATAAATACAAATAAAATTAGATTAAACCTACTTATTTATAAAGATCCGTGATAATATTAGCTTATAAAAAATCCTTGTTCACTTAATTTGGATCGCTTAATATCTTTTATCGATGTTGAAGTTAATTTGTAGCAGTTCTTTATCTTTTTTAATAGATTTATAAAGTTATGAACCAATTCAATACAAGTATTAAATTATAATAGGTAAAGCGCCTTTGGCTAAATGAAAGGTTTCACTTGATTAAAATACCTTATTTATTTTTCTTTATATACCTACTCATTGGTTTGTAAGAGAAGAGGGGTTTTATGTATGTAATTATGACGACGATTTTGCAGAAGTGGGCTTGAGGAAATTTCAGAAAAAGAACGTGTATGCAGACGTTTAGTGAGCGTTTAGTCATAAAAAGTTGCTTTTGGTTGTAAAGATCTAGGTGAAACATTCAGCTGAAGCCAGGACGCGGTAGTAAAGTATAGTTTGTTGTTTGGTTGGGTAATTCCTCACGAAGTCTCTTATCGTGTCGTAAATGAGAACTAAAGAAAAGGTCCAAAAGTCTTGTGAATAACTATATCAAATTTACCAAATGTTTGTAAATGAATAATAGCATGTAAGGTACAATGAAGAACCTATTTCCACTATCGCCTATCCACTTGTCAAGTTATTTTTTTATATAAATAAGGGTGACATACGAGCACATTCTATTTACTGGTAAGTGCATGATGTCGCCCATAGACATTGCATTTATCGTGGATTTAGAATAAAGATCCGTTGTCACCCGTGACGAGACTATAATGAAACGTCTCTTTACAGTGAAAAGGGTTTCTGATGAGGCTTTCCGGTAAAACACTATAACTGCAGGACAACATTTGTTTAACTTTGCTATAATGTGGCTGCGGATGGTGCTTCAGAAAATTAAAACAATTGCATATGTTATGAAACAATTTCTTTGTTGCTTTGTTACACGAATTTTAATGCATTTCCGTAAAGTAAGACCTAATTTCTTTATAACGGTATTCGTAGTGTTGGCAAACTTTGCACTGGTAGATTAATTACAATTCAACGCTACGCCGAGATGTGGCAAGCGGTGGACGGGGGCCGGTGCTTTCGCGTTACGGACCACTGCAACTTATGCAACCGTAATAATAAGACCTCTCCACGCCTACCTATGCCCTCGGAGCATTTTCTGTGTTCCGTGACCTACTTCAACGGGTTCCACTGGCCTTACTTTTACGATAATCGACCAATATGGTTAAAAAACATTTATCTATAACTTATAATTGATTTTATTTACTTGAACTCTTGGTAAGCAAACTTGATACTCTGAATTCAAGTTAACTTAACTTAACTTTGATCCTACTGAAAATCATCTATATGGTTATATAAAATCTGCACATGGACAAACATCCAGACCCGGAACAATATTGTAGGCCATACAAATACTTAATCCCTGCGGGATTTGAATCCAATGCTGATCCACTGCGCCACAGCCGTCAAAACTTCACATCGATCGTCGTCACTTTAGGTCACATGCAAGAGCGGGTTTAGGAGTACTGGCTTAGCGTTTTTCGTTCTGCGTGGCCGCGTGATCGGATCACGATGATCACATACAGATCAATGAGATCAATTTCTGTATGATATGTTTGTATCACCTACAATTAATTCCCTTTTTACTGGAAACGAGGCATTCCATCTTAGTCCTTAGGGGTGACAACGCATCTGCATTTTGATTCTTAATCGAGGATAAATGTAGATGTATATGGGCCATAGTATTCACTTAAAATCTGGTGGACTGTGCGCTCGTTTGTCACCTTTATTCTATAAAAAAATGTGGAAATCTTGTATGTAAAACGGGTCAACAATACAGAAGAAAAATCGTGAAGAAATAGTAAAAGAGAAGATTTTGACTCTGCAAGATAGCTGCTCCTTGTTTGTTATAAAATACGGAAACTAATACAAATTAACTGTTATTTTGCGTGCGACGATATCATGTCTCAATATCACGCCCCCGCAAGGGCTTGACATGTTTTCAACAATACGTCGTGACTTGCGATACCCACGTTATACTTTCCTATGTCATAATCATAAATAATTATGCGTAATCTACTTCAAAGACAATAAAATATTACGTTATTTTCACTGTATACAATGTTTGCGGCAATTATAAACTTTAAATATGATAATATAAAATCAATATTTAAAAATAGTTACGTTCTCCAGACAGAACTAAGACACGAAAGTAAAATAACAACCAACTTCCTGACACCGGGGTGCTTCTGAGAATTAAAGTAAAAAGTAAAGTTACAGCCTATATACGTCCCACTGCTGCGCTCAGGCCTCCCCTCATTTCTGAGAGGGTTTAGGGCAAGGAAGTGTCCGCCGCGCTGCCCAAATGCGTGTTGACGAACTTCACATGTCTTCAAAATATTTTTTTTATTATTCCTCAGACATGCAGGTTTCCTCACGATGTTTTCCTTCACCGCCGAGCACGTGGTAAATCAGCACTTAAAATTGCAATTAACAATTTCATTGGTGCCGGCGGGGATCGAACCCGGGTTACTCGCGTTCTGTTATATTTACAGCGAGCGTTAACCACTGAGCTACCACGGCTCATTGAGCTACCACGGCTCACTTCTTCTGCTTCTGAGAATTATTTTCAAGAAAACCCAACAAAATAACTGATTATGGCCCGATACGCGATTTGAACCCGGGACCACATGATCAGGCCTACTTCATAACTCTGTCGGAAATACGAAGAGTGCTGTGCCTTATGTACTATCTACTAAGTAAACATGCTAGAATGAGTTTGTATAGTTAAAATATAACCAAATTGATTGAATTGGAAACAATTGGAATTTTTGCGAAGACGGTGAATCAAAAATGTAATTACGCAAAAACAAACGATATAAACTACCACTTACTTTCAAATACTTTTCATGCAGTGAAATTATCTTTACGTAACCGGCACTATCTCTTGCTCAATTTGACGTCCAAAACGTTGTTCAATTGTCGCTTTTGAAATCGGTTCGGAAGTTACTTACGTATTACTTTTAGAAAGTAAAGACCGTGGTAACTCGGCGGATAGTTTGCGCGCCATTGAATCACAGGATGCGAATTTGATTACCTTGTAACTGTTAACTTAAATTATAGTAGAAACGAAAGCGACAACGGAACGTTACTTAAATATACTCATAATACTAAAATAACCAGTTTTCATTTAATATAAACTTGCGGACCCCGGCTTCGCACGGGCGAGTTTTGCATCTCGACAACATATGCATTTAATATACATAAAAACCTTCCTATTGAATCATACTATCTATTGATGAAAACCGCATCGAAATCCGTAGCGTAGTTTAAGAGATCTAAGCATACAAATGGTGGGCCGGAAGCAACTTTGTTTTGTTCTAGGTATCTAGAGAAGCTATTTAGCTATTCTAATTTCTTATAGAGATAGAGAACTTATTGTTATTCGCTTCATCTTACGACATCTTTGAGTATTAAACAAACAATTTACGATATGCGTTGATTCCAAAATATATCGCGTTATTTCATACAAGTTAATAATATATTATTCATGTTGTTGTTTTAATTTAGGTATGTATTAACAAAAGTAAACATAGGTACCTATATGTATTCGGCAACGAACAATGGATAATGACGATGATGGAGCTTAATATTTTAATTTTTAACGAATATAATATGTTTAATAAAAAACATATTTTAAGGAATTATTGTCAATATATACTATGGCATTATAATAGAGTACGTGATTACGTGAAGTAGTTATTACATTCAGCGTTTAATCGAAAAGGTCTCGATTATACCAATTAATGCCTTATAAGGGCAAAATGGTGTTAACGAAAAGAGTAAGTTGACATTTTTAGGGTTATTAAGAAGGAGTGGACAATTTAGAGTTGAATTTACGACCAACGCCCGTTCCTGATAACCTTCAACGGGCTCGCGGATGTGAGTGAAAGGTCTCAATGCCATTTATTTGCCCGACTTTACAACAAATAAACTACGGCGACGTAGTTACACGATATTTCCGTCGCAATCAGGGTTACCAAACGACCAGTTACCACGACTGGAAAAAAAGCATTATTTAATGATTTATTATATTCTAAGAAACACGATAATAGCATGACTTTAATAATTAAAAAATACCGCTGGAGTGTACAGTTTCATATACTCAATAACGCTTATTACCGCTCGATTATTTAAAATTGAATGAATTAGAGTTGCGAAAGAGCAATGAATAAACAGCTATTAAACAGGTGTTGTAATTAACTAATATTTTCTGAACTTTTTGTAAAATTTCATATTGCCATGTTTAAAAACTTATATAACGTTAAAACTTTTTATCTATTAGCGACCTGCTGATTTAACAGAGAATTTGTGTCGACAGTTATGCGTAAATCAAAATTTTCGCCTAAAACAAATTGTGCATGCGTATTTAAATTTAGAACAGCACCCGCCATTTTTGTTCATTACATATTTATTTTTAACCCGATAAGCAAGCAAATCAAGGTCTCGTTGCAATATAACTTTTACTTGATCCTTTTAAATTATGAAATATTCCAACTGTGCTTATCTGCACAGACAATGGGTATTGAATGTGCATTGTTATACTTAATTCCTGTAGGTAAAAGAACCAATGTATATTTTTATATAGATTACTTACCTTATTTTGACAGTGTAGTGGTAGTGTAAGAATATCAATTACTCCATATCATCCCGTGGGTGACAGAGAAATTAAACTATAATATCATAGTAATCATAGACGATTTACCCAATATCTACTAAAATAAAAAAGCTGTTGCCAACTTGCTTGCCAACCGTGGCGGCAACAATGGACTATGGCAAATATGAGGCAATCTATGGAGAAGTCTGTAATGGTAGTAGCGTACCTTTTTTATTTTAATTATTATAGTAGCGATGAAAATAGTTTTCAGACTTTTCGAATTAAAAAATTAAAGCGACAACAGGTTTACTGTGTGTATTATTTATAGTGTAAAGATCTAATTAAATTACATATCAAGCTATTGACAGTTCGTATTTTATAAATATTCTTGAGACCTAGCGTTTTTTTTTAACTTTTAAACACAGTATTTTCAATACTCTCATGTGAACTAAATCTAAGTGATTGTTGCTTTTATTACTGTATTTAATTACTTTTAGTCAATTTATAAAACAAAATTATGCAATATCAAATACTTAAGGTTTTTTTGGCATTTAGTCTATTTGAGGCATACTTTACACTGTGTTTTTTTAAAATAATGTTAAAAAACAAACACAGTACATGGATAGTATGCGAATGCGGTAGCTCATTGAAACTTACTTCTATAACAGATAAGTTACTACCTAACTTCTATCCTCATATAAGAATTAAGACGTAGATGCAGACCCCTGGGAACTAAGATAGAATGCCTCGTTACCAACAAAAGTGGTCTCCAGTTCTATATACACATACGAATTACGCCTATTGTGTGCTCTAGCTACCAATCCACATGGCTCTACCACGTGTGCTTGGTGATATTCAACCGAGAGGGTTTGTTCCGCGTATCATCATATTGAAAGGGAATGTGCCAACTTCCTCAGGGACATCCTACCCTTAACCGACCCTCCAACGTTCGGAAAACGAAAGGAAAATTCCTCCCGACTGACGATGGGCAACGGATTAACGAGTACAAGGTATCCGCGCTGCGTTAACCAATCCGCCTACCAAACATGGTAATTGTGAGAAAACGACTCCAGAAATACATAGACGCATTCTTTATATAACCTACATTTAACTAGCAGTGCACGTTATATCTATAGCACGTTCATATAATGAGGACCTTAATTACTTTGTACGAATTAGTATTTACTACGAACATACCTGCGAGTGCGCAACATTTACTTTTACTTCACATGGTTTTTATACTTATTTGTAAAACTTATAAGAAAGGTTTAAGCTGGTTTTATTAAAAAAATACACTACTACAGAGAAAACATAAAAAACAAAATTGATAAAAAAGAAGGTTAAATTAATAAAAAACAATCAACAAAACTACTTAAAGTTTTGAATAAGAGTTTGTGACAAGATTAAACAATGCCACAAAATTTTTTTTTGAGAACAAGGTTTTTCATTTTTCTACTTTTGCTCCGGCAACGATAGATTTTATAGGATATTGGTACAAATACAAAACTAGTTCATTGAAAATTGAGAGTTGCAGAGGTTAAAGGAAATTGCTAATTACCGTTCGATTACTAAATAGTAATTCGGAGGGAATAGTAAAATTATACTGTGATATATAGGGATGAATAAATTTTATATTTCATTTGCGTTTTTGGATTAAATGACAGTTAAATTGTTATTTTCACCCACAGTGGAAAAAAACAGTACACATCCGAATATAAACTTCTCAAACCATGGACGTATAAAAAAGAAATAGGTAAAGGACCCTTATTTATACGTCCATACCCTCAAAGAATTACTGACTAAGATTTAAAGCGTGTAAAGAAAATTATTAGGTTATTAGACTGCTTTTATAGTATACTCACTACAGTAAAGTTATTTTATACAATACTAAAAATATAAAATAAACTAACCATAGCGTTCGAATGGTGGGAACTGGCAACACTGTACAACGGGTGCGCGCGGCACGCCTCGACTGAACTCGCCATAGCCGTCACTACAATTTTTATAGCAACCTTTTAACAAAGCAGTTTCACTTTCTACTTCGAGCACGGCCCCCGATCCGATGCAAAACACTTAATAAAGATATAAGGATCAACCCTCGAGTGGAAGGTTGCCTGTCGGAAGTAATAACAACATATGCGGTGACAGATGGCAACCGTGGCATGGTACAACGTGATGATATTAAGAAAGTTTTATTTATTCTTTATTGTAACACCTTATAACAAAGGTAGTATAGGTAGGTAATAGGCGGAATTAGCGCCTATCGGCATTCTCTGACAGTCAAGTTTGTTTTTATTTTTCGCTTACGTGTAGGCAGAAAGGACGGAGTTTTTTGACGTGGTAGAGCCATGCTGCAGTTATATTAGTAGTATAGTTATAGCACGATTGGGTCGGCTCGACTGGGGAAGGACCACGCTCTCACAGAATACCGGCGTCAAATAGTAGCTTAATGCTGCTGTGTTTCGTATGGTGAGTGTAGAGAACCGGAGACCCTTTTTATTGGAAACGAGGCATTCCATCTTAGTCCTCACGGGTGACAACGCATCTGCATTTTGATTCGTAATCGAAGATAGATGTAGATGTCTATGGGTCACTGCAACCACTTACCATCAGGTGGACTGTGTGCTCGTTTGCCAGCCTGTCCTATAAAAAAGGATGTACTTACATTTTAATTACATAATAAGAAATGCGATATAAAATAGGATGCTGTTTATTACAATTTGAGACTTGGTAACGTTGTGGTCAAAAGTTTGACTTTAGTAACACTTACACCGTCATGCGTACGGCAGACTCCTTGTCTTTCCATCGGATTACAATGTGTCTTCAAGACGAGTAAATAGTCTTTTGTTAAGTCAGTGCGCTTCACCATCTTCGGCTGCATCACCACTTACCATCAGATGGGATAAGCACTGGGTTTTTAAGCGATACAAGTAGCTGGTTTGATTACCGTACGTTAATAAGTATTTGTATGATCTAAAAGCTATTATACGGACTGCAATTTTTTTCTCTTTTTGTACAAGTAAGAGTTACAAATGAGCACCCAGTTCACTTGACAAGTTGACAACACCTACATCTGTTATCGATTAGAAATGAATACGTTGATGCGTCATTTGCGTCTGAGAACTTTATATACCTTGTTAATAGTAAAAGGGGATTTCGTTTACCCGTTCTCGCAATACGATGAACTACTATTTACTATTTGCTTTATTTATTTGAGAACGTGGTCCCTTCCACGGTAGAGTCGACTCTACGGAGCAGCAGCTATAATGCAGCTGCTGCATGGCTCTACCGTGTAAAAACTACGCTTCGTCTAAGTGTTTGTCCGTGTACAGTTTATGCATGAAAAACGACTTTTTGATATAAGATAAATTCCCAGTGTGTTGTAAGATTTTCGCTTTTAGTTTGCCGAGTAATAAAACAATCAATTTATTTTATTTTATTTGGAAGGCCAACAGCTATTATAATTAGGTTATATAGTAGTAATAACTACAGTAAGCCAATTAAAGGTACTCAGTAGTAGATACAAAGGGGAATTTACAACAGTGATAACTCGATTCAACACTCAAGAGTATTTATTAATACTAACATACTCGTAGTCACGATACGTATACGATATATTACTTTCCTCTATGCTCGTAGTTATGCCAAATGTGGGCTTCAAAAAATCAAATTCATAAGCGCTCCAAAAAAAAATTGAATTCATCACTATTCTAGTTAGTGGTATGATGGTGGCGTAACAGACAGAGTTGCCAAATTGTCGAGATCCGTCTGGATTCTCCCGACATTTTAAATGATCGCCAGACTCCCGAGAAAACTCAAAATCTCCAGACAAACAGCTTCTCGGAAAGTTGATGTATGGCTTTTGATTTAATAAAAGCTAGATTTGTAGCGATAGTAGCCTAATGGCAGGGCGTGGACCGCGAACTCAAAAAGGTCGTGGGTTCGAATCCACAATTCGACTACTGGCGTGAACCACTCGTAACACAAGCAATTTAAGCTTACCATGAGTGGTTAAAGGGAATATTAGTAATGTTAATATCATAGTTAATATTGTTTTTTTTTTAAAAAAGACTGAACTTTGGAGTAAATTTTTTGAATTTTAAATCTTTTCTGAATACTAATAAAAGATCCAAATTGGCGGATACTAGTAAAGTCCTATGACAAATACATGTGGTAACCTAAACATTTAATTTTACTTAAATTAGTTACGTGTCAACAATGTTAAGTCTTTTTGTAGCCTCTTAATTTAAAAAATAAACTATTTATTTTTAATGTATATTTCTCCGATAATAACCATAAAATTCTAATTGAATCCTCCTCCTTGCAACGGGAGAGTTATGTATCAGCAATGGACTTTAACTGGCTGATAAAAAGACGAGACGAGAGAGATATCTGCTACAAGAATCTTAGTTGTTGTTGATTCTTTTATTTTTAGTCACTTGTGGGAGATAATACATTTACAGCTTCCTCTTTATTATCGATCGTTCTAGAATGACAAAATCGCATTCTGTATTTTTTGAAAACAATCGTTATGGATCAGTTTAAATGTGTTTGTGGTGTAATGAAGAGAAAAATGAAAAAACTCTACATGCCTACTAATATATAATAATAAAAATAAATTGTTTTATTATTTGTATCTCAAACTAACAACAGTCATACATTACATTTGTTAAATTAAGAGTTGGGATTGTGTTCAGACTGGCTTAATAATGACTAAAAAAATGTATTGTTATTGAACATTTATTAGACCAGACAAGATTGTGAAAGTCCCAAAAATTTTACGTCGCAAGGACATTAAATTCATTGCCGTTACGAAATTCACTATGTACTTAAAATATACTTGACCAAGTCATGATTCGAAAGTTTAAAAGTAGCTACGTTATTAACAAATGTCAATGTTATTGTTTTATAAATATGCAAATAATAAATATATATGTGTCAAGAAAGTATAGTATTAACTTATAAGTATGACATTTGAGACCGATCGAGAGATTTCACATGTTAGATATTTGGTATTAGAATGCTAAAATACTGACAGCGTTTATAGGTATTGCAATTTTCTGATTTTCTTTTATGTAGTGGTACATTTTCATTATCTGAACTTATCAAACGGAATAACATCAGAGACAAGTTAGGAAATGTATTGAAGCATGAATTATGTCTACGACCCAGAAATCGTATATTTCTTTTATAGGACAGACTTTTGAATTATTTATGAAAAGACAATATTTTTATCTCTTCCGTCTAACTGCTTGTCGGAGGAGCGGTTACACTCAAATACATATGCTTTAAAAATTACCAAAAAAAATTATTTTAATCTAAACTTTTTCTAAACGTTTATTATGTATATTGAGCAATAATATCGATATAATAGATAACGAGATTCGAGAAGATGCACTCTACCTAATATGCAATGCTGCAATATGATATGATGATATGTATATATGTATAATTAATTTATAATTAATTTTTTAAAAATAGATAATATTATGAGTTCAACTGTCTCTTACAGAATACCTAGAGATACCTAAGAGCTATATTACCGTTATTTGTTAGAAGTACACTAAACAATTTTAGGGATTAATATTTTCTAATCCTCAGTTTTTAAACGTAGACTGAGTCAGCAATCCATCTATATATTTTTACAGGTTATCATAAGTCCACTGCTGAACTAATCAAGCAATAGTTATTTGCCATAGTTATCACGCTTGGCAATTTTTATTATTTAAGCTGAGAACAAATTATCGGACGCGTCCGTCAGCCGCGGCTGCTGAGACGGCATCCTCGGACGCCTCTCTTCGGTCATTCCAGAAAGGTTTGTCAATCGAGAAATATGACAAACAGTGACAGCGAGGACGAATTTATAAAGTTAGCGGCAGCTGCTTTATGTCGTCCTGAGAAAAAAGGGGACCCAAACACTCCTTGTCCATGATATTAATGTAAAACGACTAGAAGATGATAAACGTTACAAAATTTACTTAAGAATAAATACATTTATAGTGCTGCAGTTTGTAGTTATATAGGCATTCGTGGCCACGAATACATTCAATTAATTTTTCTTCATCACACATCATGTCGCGAGCGCAGTTGGTTCGCTTGTGACACTCGAAACGTCCGCGGACGCGTCCCGTGCTCCGTTCACACAGTCCGCGGACTCACAAACATCCAGTCGGCTAGATTCTGTTCGGACGTCCGAACGCTCAAGAGCTACGCAAGATCATGTCCGCGTCTTAAGACCGATAGTTTGCACTAGTAATTCGGCTAGATTTTAATAAGCCGCGTCTGTCAGCCGAGGCTGACGGACGCGTCCGATAATTTGTTCTCAGCTTTAGTTGTTATCGGGAAGATGCTAATGATAATAAATATTCTAGACACCGATTTTTCAGTTGGAATGCCTAGTCCAATAAACGTGACAGCCGTCTAAACGTATTTTTTCAATTAGATTAGTGGAGTAATTGTCGTCACGTAGGTGTCGCTAGAAGGGACAGAGGGAAAAAGGAACATGAGAGACTCTAGCACCTATAGCACCATATAGACTGATAGCACCTTTAATAAAAAACTGCGATTGCCAAACAACCTGCAAAGTGTGGCAACTATGGCAAAATCCTCCCAATGATGCAAGCTTTGGGGAGGCCTATGTTCAGCAGTGGACTTTTAAATACTGTTGTACAGTACATACGTTATTAATCGGTAGACACTTCGACGTTGATCATTGTTTCCCTACCGTCGAATAATATATTAAGCCATTTATGACAAAAACAGAAAGTAGAAAATGCATTACGTTTTTGCCAAAGTACGGTAACAAACGCAGCAGGAAGCCAATGCGGTTCAACATGTTCTCTGGTTTCCCGCGCTTATGTCGGGAGTAAATCGCCCCCGGTTCCGTTTAGAAGCGGTATTTATTCATTATCTGTTCGTAGAAAACAGATATGAATGTACTCCGGACCGAATTTCAGTTACGGCGGTTAGGTCAACGGAAAACTGG